TCAGAGCTTTTCCAAGCTGTGGAAGCAGGGGTTTCAAGGACAGGGTCCACAGGCCCCTGATTTCTGAACAAGGCCCCTGATTTCTGAACAAGGCCCTATGCCAGGAGCATGGCCTCAACTGGGGCCCGCTGTGACGGTGCATCAGGAGTCAATCTGGGAAGTAAAAAAAATCATAGGTGGATTATGAGATTAGATTTGTGTGCAAAGGCAAGAATCAGTGGGAGGGAAGAAAGCCCTTTCTCCAGATAGTCTCAGGCAGGGCTTGATAATCCTACTTCCAGACGCTAATAAAGCTTGGCTTCAAGGTCAGCGTGTGTATACCCAGGAGGCACTGCCTGTCACCATGGAAACAGGAAAACAGGCAGAAAATTAAGTTTCTAAGACTTTGGTTTTCTCATATAACCTAGGAATATTACATTTTGCAAATAGAACAGAGCTTGGCACAGAAAAGCCTCTCATTTATTCATTGATTGGACAAGTCAGAGATTTCCCTGAGTCAGGTACTGTTTTAGGTACAATGATTTACAAAATGGACATGGTCCTGCCCTTTGAACACTTCAGTCTAGAAGGGGAAACATTAATGGAAAAGAATGCAAGTAATTATCTGTGATAAGGGATAGGAAAGAAAATGGCAGGGACAAAGAGAGCCTGTACAGTGGCCTGGTCACATCTGCTTCCCTGGAGGATGAGCAGGATTAGCAAGGAAGAGGGAGCAAGAGAATGTCCCAGGAGGAGACAGCAACATGTGCAAAGTTGTGAATGAAAGGAGCAGGGCATGCTGGGAGGCTAGGGCACAGATGGCTGGAAGGCGATGGGAGCAGGCTGGTCCGCGAGCGAGGGTCGTGGAACAGAGTAAAACTTCTTTATTCTCAGTTCAAGGAGAAGCCTTGAAGACATCTCAGCCGGAGGGAAAGACTTCCTTTGGGTTTGTTTCTTTTCTTTTCTTTTTTTTTTTTTTTTTGGCTGCACTGGGTCTTAGCTGCAGCATGCGGGATCTTTAGTTGCAGCATGTAGGATCTAGTTCCCTGACCAGGGATTGAGCCCTGGCCCCCTGCATTGACAAGGCAGAGTCTTAGTCACTGGGCCACCAGGGAAGTCCCAAGGATTTGCTCTTTTTTTTTTTTTTCTTTTTCTGCATGAAGACTATGTTGGAGGAGAGGCCAGAGATACCAGTTAGTGGGCTGTGACAGTGGTCCACAGAGATGATGGCACAGCTTGGGGGGAAGATAGGGAGGGAAAGAAATGTGACTATTTAGGAGAAACATGTTAGGAGCCAGAAAAGATGGTTCCACATGGATTGGGTGAAGGCTTTGAGGGAGCAGAAGGTATTTAGGATGACTCGGAATTTCTGGCTGGGGCCATGGGATAGATGATGAACCAGGTTTCAGCAACAGTAATTTGTGATTCTGTTTGACCTTTTTTTGTTCCAGGTACTGTGCTGGGCACTGGGACTGCAGGCCAGGTGGATGGTCCCTACCTTCAGGGATCACACAATCAAATGGGGTAGGGGGGGAACTTGCAATCCGGGTATCTATGAATGCAGGGAGAGACTGTAAAATGGTGCTGCAGGGAGATACAGGCAAAACTAATTGAGCATTCAGGAAGACCTTGTGAGGAGGTGGGAATCCGAGCCGAGCCCTCAGGGACAGACAGAGGAAAGTAGGTGAAAGAGGGCAATCCAGGCAGCAGAAACAAAGAAACAAACATTGAAATTATGTCAAGTTGCAAGGGTGGCCAGAGGACATTGCAAGAGGGTGAGACTGCAAGGCTGTCCACCACCTTCCTACCTTCCTCCAGGGCTGCCAGGAGGCTCCAGTGAGCTAAAATAATGCGCCTGTGAACATCTGGTAAACTCTTACACAGTTACTGTGGTTATGGACTTACTTATGTGAGGCACCAAAGTGAAAGTGAAAGTCACTCAGTCGTGTCCAACTATTTGTGACCCCATGGACTGTAGCCTGCCAGGCTCCTCTGTCCATGGAATTCTCCAGGCCAGAATACTGGAGTGGGTAGCTGTTCCCTTCTCCAGGGGATCTTCCCAACCCAGGGATCAAACCCAGGTATCCTGCAATGCAGGAGCCACCAGGAAAGCCCACCTGAGATACCAGGGAAGCCCGTAAGGCACCAAAGCTCTCTACAACTGTCACCAATTATGATTTCAGATCCAAACAGGATCATCTGATCCTCCGTCATAATGCTCTCTGGCATTTGTATTGTCATCCCCAGTTTACAGATGAGGAAACTGAGGTCTGTTGTGGTTGAGTAATTGCCCAAGATCTGGCAGGGAATAAGCAGCACAGAAGCCAAGGAAAAGCCAGCAGGTCATTCTAATTTCTGAGAGAGTACACAAGCTGGGAGGCGGGAGGAGCCTGTCCTCTATGCTGTCTTGAGATGTGCAGCTGGCTCAAGGCACCAGACACAGACTCAATTGTGCAGGCTGGACCAGGCCCCTAGGCAGCTGGCCTGTGGCCTGAACATGGCCCACCACCAGTCACCAACCACACGCTGGCTTCCAGCTTGGGTGTGCGGCTCTGTCTCATTCACACAGAGGACACTGTGAGTGGTGGGGCATTTTACAGATGGGGAGACTGGCAGGCCACCATGGAACCAAGTGATGGCCAGTCAGTGTCAATGAGTGTTTTATGTTGCACTTGAGGGTGGTTTTGTTCACAGGAAGACCAACCAAGACTGCTTTGGTTTTAAAAAGAAATGTTTAATTTACAAAAGTAACAAACTTAAAAATCTAGTAAAATGGAACAAACCCTTTTAAGGAGGATTTTATAACTTAATTCAATTCATCTAAATTTTTTAAATTATTAGTAATTTTTAAAAAAAAAACTAAGCTTGAAAATGTGTTTACTATCGATTTTTAATAAAAGTTCATCATTGTTTATAAAATTTATAAAATTGTCATATCTTTCAACTTAAAACTACAACTCTAAATTAATTATTCCATTACACATTTTATATTGGAATCACAAAACTAGTCTAAATATAATATGCCAAATATATTATATATAACAATATATATTATATTAGATATAATATGCAAATTATTTTAAACAGCATGAATACTTTCAAACTAAATCTACACAGATTTTTTTCCTAAATGTAATACCTCCAAAGGTAATATTATTTAATTTATCATTTCTAATCTAATTCTAAATCTTTCCATGATTAAAGACACTTATTAAGAAAACAAGTTTCCTAACCAAATCAGTATAGAGGTGTATATCAGAGCAATTTCGGGGTTAGCTCACAGCTGGCTGAGAATGCTCACTAAGCAGAAAAATGAGGCAGGGCATGGGAACCAGTGCCACAAACATCCAGGGAAAGGTACTTTGCACTCCATGCCGTGGGTCTGGCCCTCTTTTAAATCTCCATGCCAGCAGAGATCACTGGCCCCATATCCTGCCAGTGGGATAGGTTTTGCAACCCAAGCCCCGAGATCAAGTTAAGCTTTAGTCACCTCTTTTGTCTCATGTCTCAGCTTCATCACCCCATTTGGGATGACTCCATCCAGGTAGTTCACTTCCAGATAGGATGATCTAATCAATTTTCTGCTGGATTCTACTCTGAATTAGGTTTTTATTTTTCCTCTCTGGCCAACCACCAAATATTAGAGGTATTTTAATGCCATTCTTAGGTTTTGCATGCTCCTCGTAGCCTTGCTCCCTCCATAAACACTAAGGTCCTGCTAATGGTAGTCCATGTGACCAGGGCAGCTGTGCTCCGTGTTGTTCTGAACAAGGGAGCCACCCCGGCCCCTCTCTTCCACTGTGATGCTCAGAGACATCCAGAGGGACAGGATGGACAAGCTGCCTGTGGCACTCTGTACTCTGTTGAGAAATGTCAGTTCCTAGGAGGCTCAAGATGCTAAATATGGTAAGAAGCTTCTGGACTGGGATGACATGTCAGAATAAAAATAGTCCAAAGATGTGTAACTTTATTTCTAAGTAGACAGAAAAATAATAGCAATATTACACAGAACATGGTACAGGGGCTCTATGTATATAATTTCTAATCATCACAAATTTCTGAGTAGATATCATTTTACCCAATGATATAGATGACACACCTGATCCCCAGAGAGGCAAAACCAGAATGAGCTAAGAAAGTGTACAACTAGAAGTCTTGCAGGACCTGCTTTAAATGACAGGAACTGTTACAATACTGAAGTGGTTTTAAGTGTAAAGACTTGATTGGCCCAGGGAGAGTAAAGGGAGCCAGAGTGGGGACAGAGCAAGGGGAGCAGGGCCTCTTCACTGCCTGAATGGGGAGTCCCAGCCAGTCACCACCAAATATGGTGCAGGTGACAATGCAGTGCATGGTCTATAAGAGAATTTAAAAGCTATAATAAAACTGATTAAACGTTGGTCTATTTTTTACAGTCACCCCAGCCAGCTGTGCTAAACAATGTGATAAAATACTTTTTACCCTTTTCGGGGAGGTGGGGAAGAGAGACCTTCCCACTGCTCTCTTTCTCTCATATGTGCTTTGGGACCCCTTGCCACTCCCCACTGAGCACTTAACAAGGGGGTTGGGGAAAGGGAGGAGTCTGGGAAGCCCTGAGAACAGAAGCACTCTAGCCTGTAGGGTCACCTGAGTGGATAGCAAAGATGGGCCCCCAGGATGGACCCCACCTATTCTGGAGGAAGGAAGAGAGGCCTGGGGAGAGTGTGGGGTGGACAGGCTGCTAGGATGCCCACTGGAAGACTCTGAGTCCCAGTACAGTACTGCCAGTGTCACCTGGGGGCTGCCCTCCATGCCACCTGCAGGTTATAATCAATTGGCAAGCACACTGAATGACCAACTCCCAACCCTGCCCCTCACCCTACCCCACATTCTATACTAAGGATCTGGAGATCAGATTCTCCTCCTGACTCCCCAGCGAGAGCTGCCCTGCCGAGGCTCCACTAGGCAAGACTTAGCTCTGTGCTCTGCCCTATCCCTGGTCCAAGCGCTGGCCCTCACAGTGACCACCTCTCTCTCCTCTGCAGGAGCCAGGTCGAACCCACCAGGGATTCACCTAAGAATCAAGGTCCTGTAGCCACAGAGCCAGACAAGGATCAAGGTCCAGTGGGCCCAGGGCCTCTGAAAGATCAAGGTCCTGGGATCCAAGAGCCTTCAAAGGGTCAAGGCCCCACAGCCCCAGAGCCTCTGAAGGATCAAGCTCCTGTGGTCCCGGGGCCTCTGAAGGATCTCGGTCCCATAGTCCCTGCATCACTTAAGGATCAAGATCGCACAGTCCCTGAGCCTTTAAAGAAAGAAGGTTCTGTGATCCCAGCACCAGTCAAGGACCAAGATTCCTTGGACCCCATGCCTCTAAAGAATCAAAGTCCTATGGTTCCAGCAAGAGTTGAAGATGAAGGTTCTGTGGTACCAGAGCTTCTGAAGGATCAAGGCCCCACGGCCTCTGCACCTGTCAAGGACCAAGGTCCCATGGTCCCAGCACCTGTCAAGGACCAAGGTCCCATGGTCCCTGAACCTGTGGATCAAGGCCCCATGGTCCCAGTACCTGTGGATCAAGGCCCCATGGTCCCAGCACCTGTCAAGGACAAAGGTCCCATGGTCCCAGCACCTGTCAAGGACCAAGGCCCCATGGTCCCAGCACCTATCAAGGACCAAGGTCCCATGGTCCCTGAACCTGTGGATCAAGGCCCCATGGTCCCAGCACCTGTCAAGGACCAAGGCCCCATGGTCCCAGCACCTGTCAAGGACCAAGGCCCCATGGTCCTAGCACCTGTCAAGGAACAAGGCCCCATGGTCCTAGCACCTGTCAAGGAACAAGGCCCCATGGTCCCTGAGCCTGTGGATCAAGGGCCCATGGTCCCAGCACCTGTCAAAGACCAAGGTCCCATGGTCCCTGAGCCTGTGGATCAAGGTCCCATCATCCCAGCACCTGTCAAGGACCAAGGCCCCATGGTCCCTGAGCCTGTGGATCAAGGTCCCATCGTCCCAGCACCTGTCAAGGACCAAGGCCCTATGGTCCTATCACCTGTCAAGGACCAAGGTCCTATGGTCCCAGAGCAACTGAAGGATACAAGTGCCCTCGTCATAGAACCTGTGAAGAAGGAAGGTTCTGTGCTATCTGAGTCTGTAGAGAAACCAGGGTTATTGGTCCCACAGCCAGTCAAAGATCAAGGGAGGGGGGTCTCAGAACTTCTGCAGGATCATGATTCTGTGATTGCAGCGCCTGTCAAGGATCAAGGCCCCGTGGTCCTGGAGCCTGTCAAGAGTCAAGTTCCTATAATCCCGGTGCCTCTGAAAGATCAAGATCCTCAGGTGCCACCACCAGCAAAGGATCAAGGTCCTATGGTTCCTAAGCCTCTGAAGACTCAAGGTCTCAGGAGCCCTCAGCTGCCCACGGTCTCACCACCACCCCCAGTCATGATCCCAACTGTCCCCCATGCAGAATATGTCGATGGTTCCCCTTGACACTCACCCCTTGACATGCCAAAGAAGGAGCTGGAGGTGAAAGTGCTCCCTCTCAGGGGCAGCAAAGACACTTATTTAATCTGCATGAAACACGTATTGTATAGTCTTGCTGGAATCTAATAAAACTGGTCCCTCTGGCTCACCAGTGTCTCTCTGGCTTCATTTGAGTGTGTGTGTGTATGTGTACCATGCATACTGGAGAGCAGGCATGCAGGGCTCTGCATTTATTCATTTGGGCAATCTGAGAAATCCCCACCTCCTGTGAGTTGTCAGCATTCAATGGGAGTGGGTGGGAGATGCTAGGATCTTGACAACCGGACCCCATTGTGAGGGTATAGGCAGGACACACTTGTCTTTCCCCTTAACTCTCACACTCCGACCACATTTCACTTGTGACACCACAGGTACAGGGTAGGACTTCTGCACATCAGGCAATTCTCTACCACTAGCTAGGGATTCTATATTTAACTCAATTCTGATACTATCTACCTAGAGACAGCATTAGCTTCCACAGGTTAAGAACTCCATCCTACAAGACTGCCTCCTTGTCTCCCCAAATTCAGATGCCAATTGCAAGTCCCAGGCTATCCCTTGTACTTCTAACTGACTTGCTTTAATCAGGTTCCCACAACTCCCTGCTTGGGTTCAATAATTTGCTAGAATGGCTCACAGAACTCAGGGAAACATTTGTGTTTACTGGTTTATCCTAAAAGGATAAATAACACACCAAGGTGGAGAAAAGAATAGGGTAATGTATAGAGGAAGGGACATGCAACCTCCATGCCCTGGCCAGGCACACCACCCTCCCGGTACCTCCAGCAACCTGGAAGATTTTCAAACCTCAAACTTTGGGGATTTTTATGAAGACTTCATCATGTTGGCATAATCGAACATTAATTCCATCTCCAGCCCCTCTCCCCTTCCCAGCAGATGGGAGGCAGGACTGAAAATTCCAAGCTTCTAATTGTGACTTGGTGTTTCCATCCTGAAGCTATCCAGGAGACCACCAAGAGTCTCCTCATTAAAACAAAAGACATTCCTGGACTTCCCTGGTGGTCCAGTAGTTAAGAATCTGCCTGACAAAACAGGGGATGTAGGTTTGATCCCTGGTTTGGGAAAATTCCACATGCCAAGCGGCAACTAAGCCCGTACGCCACAACTACTGAGCCCATGCTCTAGAGTCCATGTTCTGCAACAAGAAAAGCCACTGCAATGAGACACCCACACACCACAACTAGAGAATAGCCCTCACTTGCCACAACTAGGGAAAGCTCGTGCACAACAATGGAGACCCAGTGCCGTCAATAAATAAACAAATTTAAATTTTTTTAAATAAAATAAAACAAAAGACACTCCTATCACCTAGGAAATTCCAAAAGTTTTAAGAGCTCTGTGCTAGGAACCGGGGGCAGAGACCAACACATATATTTTCTATTATTTCACAGGTCAAGTTCCATGAAAGCCTAGGTACCAAACAGGTGTCAAACCACAGCAGGCTGAGCCCTGGATTGTTCAGAGCAGAAGCCTACAGAGGAAAATGGAAGCAGGGGCCCAGCTGGCCCAGGTTAATTCTGGATGACAATCGATTGCCAAGGGTCCTGAAGATCATCCAGAGGTCATGCTTCTTGAGAAAACTAGGCCTCCGATCAGAAGAGTCCCAGGACACTCATGAAGCAGAACCTAGCATCTGCTAGTCCTCACTCAGTATCCAGGACAGCTCAGCCAGGACTTCTCAAACAGTGCCTGAAGTCCCCCACTCATCCGTGCATGAAGTTTGACTTAGCACCCACTTTGTGCCTCACTCCGTGCTGCGCATGAGGTCACAGTGGTAAAGAAATCCCGCTTAGGACAATAAAAGGTGGTGTCAGATGAGGCCCTAGGTCAACTAAAGGCCCGACTTTGAGAGGAGAGTGAAGGAAAAATCTCTAGCTTCTCAAAGTAGCCATGAAGTACAGACAGCAGCAGTAGGAAGGGGTATGGTGGATGTGGCCAGGGCAGGGGTGTGTGGGCAGGGTTGGCCCTCTCTGGAAGTCCTTGAATGAAAGAAGCCTGATTTGCATGAGGGATTGAACAAGGAGTGTAGCAGGCCGAGAGCAGGCAGGGGTGACCAGTTTTCTGAAGCCCAGGATCTCGGGGGGAAATCAGGTGGCAGGGAGTCAGTCCTGTAGGCTGTGAATGTATCACTGGAAAAAAGGCTGGGGGACTGCTGGAGGCTAAAACTCAGCCTTGCCCATAGATGCTTCCTGCTAGAATCCCACTGGGGTAAATTACAGTAGCCTCCCCTTTAAAACACAAAGCCCTGGGACTTCCCTGGTCGTCAAGTGGTTAATAATCTCCTTTCTAATGCAGGGGATATGGGTTTGACCCCTGGTCAGGGAACTAAGATCCCATATGGCACAGGGCAACTAAGCCAGTGCCTTCTAGAGCCTGCATGCCACAATGAAAGATCCTACCTGCCACAACAAAGACCCAATGCAGCCAAATAAATGAATATTTTTAAAATAAATAAAAAGGAACCTAAGTCACGACTATTGCCCCCACCAAAGCTGGCTCCCAAGGAACACTCCTACCCCTTTAAGACTCTTGAGACCCATTATAGACATTAACCCCTTTAAAGGACTCTTCTTTTTTTTCTTTTTGGTTGCATCCCACAGCTTGTGGGATCTTAGTTTCATGATCCAACCCACGCCCCCATGCACTGCATCTTAACCACTGGACCACCAGGAAGTACTGATGATTTCCAAATGGTCCAATTTTCTAAGCAACTGGTACCAAGCCTGTCTCCTCACTCTATTCCTAATAGCACCAGGGTTTTCTGCCCCCACTAGCCACTTCTATAAACACACACACACACCCCGATCATGAAGCTTCTTCCTGGCCCATCACAAGTTTGCTGCTATATGAATTCTAATAGGGCCCTGCCGACAAGAAAAGGGCACACTGAGGCTAAAGCGGTATTGTGTATCGGCACCGCCACCCCCTCCTTTCAGCTCTGCCTCTGACCCACACACCCAGTCCCAAGCCACACACATTTCCGTGGGCCAGGCAGATGGTGCTGTCTCTGAGAGGGCAACATCTCACCCAGGGAAGATGTCCAGAAAGCCATGGGCTACCAGGGCCCCCCCTCTGAAGTGAGAGCTGCCTGGAAACAAGGTCTGGGAGTCAGCCCCTCCATGGGCCCCGGCTAAGCTTCCTCAGGGACAGTGTCAGAATGGAAAGAGAAGTGGACCCAGCCTGAGGCTCTGGTGACTTGTTAAAGGCAGGAAGAGAAAGGCACAAAGGAAGCTGAGGAAGTGCTCGTCCAAAACTCTATGGAGAAACCAGGGCCTGTGGTGCCAGGAGTGATTCGATGCGGAGAATGATGCCCAGCGTCAACAGCTGAGGGAGGGAGTGCAACTCAGTCGAAAGGTGACCGACAGGAAGCTGTGGGATTTGGCAGCTTCCACTTAGGAGCAGGTCGACCTCCAGTCCAGCGCCAGCCACCCGTTTCCTCATCTGTAGAATGGTCCCGATGATAAGAGGAAATCCTGAGACAGAAAATCTCCAGCCCAGGGTTGAGCTGCAGGCCGCCGCCTCACCTGCATCACGCCCAGCTCTCCACTGCATTGGAAGAAGGCCTAGTGAGAGAGGTTGTCGGCTTAAGGCCCCCGTTCTGGGCTGGGGCGGGGAGAGGCGGGAAATTAACTAGAGGCTCTTAGCTCTTCTCAGATGCAGACTTCCTCCTTGACCTCGTTCTTCCCAGGGGCAGCCATTTCCCAGCCCCTCCCCTGCACGCACCGTCCCCACCCCTCTCTACCCCTCCCCTCCGCTGCCTGACGAATCCAGACTAAGGACCCGGACTGGCCGCAGCCAGCAGCCCCGCCCACATAGACGCGGCTGTCTGAGAAAGGGCGGCGCCGCTGCTTTGGAAGCCTGCAGGGATCCGCGACTGAGCCCGAAGATGCTCAGTCTCCGCCCAAGAGTCTCGAACCTGGCTCCAGGCACCGAATTTAGGGATCGGACGTGGCCCCAGGGCTGCAAACCCTAATCTCGTACCCCCAGCCCCGGTTCCAGTTACCAGAACTTCGGGGCGCGGGTCTGGCCCTTGGTAAGACAAGGCCGGGGAGAAGGCTAGCTAGAGAATCCTGGGGACCCGCGGACGCGCGCCACCCGAAGGCGGGTCCGGGGGTCCCTTTAGGAACTAGGCTGAGGCCTCTCTGGAGCCCCTGGTGGCTGATCTGAGGAAAGACTGAGATTTAACTCCTCTCGCGCTGTGATCCCCGCCCTTAACACCTGGGGGTGCGAGGGCGGGTACCGCCGGGGCACATTTTTGGCATTTTCGGGTAGCAAGGCGACGGCGCCTGCGGATTCGGGGCAGATCACAGGGCCGAGTCCTATTGCAGCAGCACCTTCCACAGTCTTTGTCGCGGCGAGGATGGACATCTAGAGGAAGGGGATGGGGAATGCACCCCAGTCTCAGTCCGAAACCTGGGGGGTAAATTGCATCCATTTCCAGCCTCTGCTTCCAGTCTGCCACTAAGACCTATGCCCTCTGCCAGCTAAATAAATAATGAATCTGCCCTCTTTTTTCTATCTCTATGGCCACCCCCTCTTACCTCACACATACCACAGTTTGTAATTCTGTATGTGAATTACCTGATGGCACTCAGGATGTAAGAAACGAGGAATTTTCTTTTTTGACAAATCAAATTAAATCTAGTTGAAGCTCCTCCTCTCCCTGCCAGGGTAGGCAGGAGCTCTAATCTCAGTCACTTTCCTGAAGCCTCCCCCTGTCCCTAGGTCCAAGAGGCTTAGGCCATCCTGAGAAGACATGATGGTTGTCATGATGGCTGCTCCAACCCAGCTAGAGGGGCACTGGGGACCCCATGCCCCCAAGCCATGCTTGGCTGGGGAGCCCCCTAAGCCTGCCCAGGTTGTGTGGTGTTAACATCATTCCCCAGACATTCCTGCCACCACCCACATCTAAGCCCATCCCTTAGTGGCCCCATAATCCAGACCCC